AAGGTTTTTAGTAACAACCGGAAAAATTAAGGGTTAGTAAAACTTTGGTAATTTGTCTAGTTTTTTATTTTACGGTTTGTTGAACAACAAAAAATGTATTGTTTTCGATTGTTGAACAACCGAAAATAGGATAGAAGATTGAAATTTGTATTTTTATTTTCGATCGTTCAATAACCGAAAATGTTATATTTTTTATGGTTGAACGACCGAAAATGTCATATTTATGGTTGTTGAACAACCGAAAATACAACTGTGTATTCCAAAAGCTTAAACGGGCCCCGCTGTTTCGATTGTTCAAGAACTGAAATTAGCTTATTTTTGGTTATTCAAAAACCAAAAAAAAAGATAAAAAAATCTTTTTTAAAAATTTACGTTATGAAGTGAAAAAAACGAACATTCTATTAATAATAGAAACTATTTGGTATTTTGATAATAACATATATATACGTAATTTTTCTTAATTTTTTTTGTACAAAAAAATCACAATTACTTTTGACTTTTGATTTGAAATTGGATAGTTAAAAGTGTTTCATTTATTAAACTCAAAGCCCTAGAGAATTTATTAAACTCAAAGCCCTTGGAACTTTGGGACAAGCTCTAAGGGTTCGATTCGACCTTTGACGGCCACAATTTAGTGTGACCTACTTGCTCTGAATAGAAATGGCATTAAGAAAATGAAAAAACTTATATAAAGCTAGGCTCTAAACAATCAAATTAAAGCTCATTTCAAGAAATTTAATTAGAAGATGTTGTTTTAATGCTTAAATATCTTCAAATTGATCATCTTGACATCAAGATGCATGGACATAAGAAAAAAATGGATTTCAAATTTTAAAAATAATGCATCTTGTAACGCTTTTTTGAATCATGAATTTTCAAGATTTTTAAATTTTCATGGATCTATTCAATCTACACTTTTTTTTAAGCTTTAAATTTTATAATTAAATATAAAAATATATTTTAAAGCTCTCACAATAATTACCGTATTAAAACCATATTTCTCACATCATTTAAAAGTGTGCTTTACTTTTGATTGTTTAAAGCAGCGTTTTAAAAAACGTCGAGTCGAACCGGACTCGCCCGGTTCGACTCGGAATTCACGAAAAGGGACCGGATCGGTTGAAAAATCGGAAATCGTTCGGTTCTAGAGTGAACCGGACGATTCCGCACAGTGACTCGCCGATTCACTGTACGGAATCGGCGAGTCCGTACGGTTTTTTTTTTTTTGTGTGTGTAATCCATGATAGATTTTTTTGTAATACTTGATCGATTTTTTTGTAATCCATGATCGAATTGTTTTTGTTTTTTGTAATCCATGATCGAATTTTTTGGTTTTTGTAACCCATAATAGAATTTTTTGTAATCCATGATCGAAATGTTTGTTTTCTTTTCTTGTAATCCATGATCCCTTTT